GCGCTTAGCTTTGAAGCTCCCGTTTCGGAGATCAGGTGCTCTAGGAACTGATTTTCTATCGATGGAAGATATTGTGGAAAATAAGATAAAGCTAGTCGTACACTCATAGTCATTGATGTCTTTTCTAGATATTGTATTTCACCCATGCCAACCAACTGTCCAAGTACGTATGTGTACTTTCGTATCCGTCTTATCAATACATGTAGTACAAAATGGGGGGAAACAGGGTACGAAGCAGAATCGTGGCTTGAATATGGTTCCAGCCAATCGTGAATCGTATGCCAATGCATGATACCAATGTCAAAGCTAGAATGTAGAAGGTGTGAAGAGTTTGGGGGAACGTCACGCGGGGCTAGGTAGTCAAAGGTGGTTAAAAGGCAGGAGTGATGAAACAGAGGCGAGATGAAGGGGTATGGAAGGTAGCATAATATTGCACGCGGTTGTTAGAAAGGCTAAAGGTAGAGACATAGGCCGGAGGATATGGGGAATCAATAAAGAGATAGAGGTCAGAAATATTTACAAACGAAGATTAAAGGGACAAGTGTAGTAGATAAGAGCAGCTAACCACCAGTGCTTCTGAAGCCTAAGGAGCTTAGCTGCTAGCGGTTTGAGCTTGTGGGGGGTTTGGGCTCTTGTTCGAAGGTGGTATGGGACCACCCTGGGCACTGCCACTACGTTGAGTCTGTGGTGTTGCGCTGCGACTCGGTTGAGGGACAGCCCCATTCATGGCCGGCGAGTTTCCAACACCCACTCGATTCTGTTGAGCAGTTTGGGGAACCCGCATCATAGGCGAGTACCCTTGCGTTTGAGGCATCTGTATCCCGGGGCCACCATTCATGCCGTTCTGAGGAGATTGAAAGTTTCCATCTTGCGACATCTGATAATTGGCCTGGACGGCTCCAATATTCCCAGCGGCTGCATTCATGGCGACCTGAGACATTCTCTGCTGCTGATACTGATGCAATCGTTCGGTGGCCAACTTATTCACTTGCTCTGTGGGCATACCCGGATGCGTTCTCTGGATTTGATTTTGCAAGCTGCTGATGGTCGGTACAACTCCACTCGACAACAGATTGGGCTGTCCCATGCGGGGTGAGGGGGTAGATACTCCTTGAGGAGTAGCGTTGTGAAAAGATGGGCTTTGCATGCCACCCCCAGCCTGGAGAGCCGCCATCATGGCGGGATTGTTCGGTGTCCCATTAACATTGGGTACATTCATATTCGGGGAATGAGAACCCTGGCCCAAAAACTGCTGCTGATTGTGAAACTGCTGCTGAGGTTGCTGTGGTTGAGGTTGCGGGTTTTGCTGTTGTTGCCTAGATTGTAAAAGCCGTTGTTGCTCTTGGAGACGGTTGGCTTCCCGAATGACCCGAGTGTTGTCCGGGGTGGTTTGCATTGGCATTCCAGGTCGGGTGGTAGTTGTCTGTTGCATTCCGGACTGTGGCATCATTTTCATGGCCATGGGATTAGGAGGCATGGGCCCATTCACAGGTCCGCTACCAGGCATTGCTTGCATATGGGGCCGTCCCTGGTTGGCACCAACGCCAGGCGGTATTCCATTCGGCATTCCATTCGGTAGCCCGTTAGGCATCCCATTTGGAGTATTGGTGGGCATAGAGGGCGTTCCAGGGTTTTGAGACATAGCATTTGGAGTTCGGCCAGGGGCATTCATCATTGGCTGCTGGTTAGGCATTTGCCCAGCACGCTGAGCTGCCAAGTTCGCCTTGTAAAATCCTGTTAGCAATAAACCCGCATTTCGTGCATGGGTTTAAAAACTTACCCTCTGTGTGGCTATCATTTGCTGCCGGTATTGTTCTTGCCTCTCCTGAAGTTTTAGCTCTCGCTCATACTTGAGTCGACTAAATTCGGCAGGCGTCGAAATAGGGGGCTTTGGCTGGTTTGCTTCGTTGACTTTTCTCAATGATGCTAGTTGAGAAGCTGAGAAAGCGTTAGTATGGTGCATATTAGATTGTCAACCTCTTGATTCCTTACCGTGTTGTTGCTTTTGAAGCATCGTCTCCCGCTTCTTAGCCAACTTGCGCATAGCATCGAGCAAAGCCAAATGCTTCGAGGACCGTCTCCGGTCAACCCGCACAGGCTGCGTGGTTCGCCTACGGACCGGGGGTAATGACTGTGGGTTGTTATTGCCTTGTTGCTGTTGTTGCTGTTGCTGCTGTTGCTGGGCTGCTTGCTGCTGCGCTAGAACAGTACGCTGTGCTGTCTCCAGCCTTTGATGGTAAGCCCTGAAGTACTGTGTCTTCGACATATCGGCAGGTAGCCCCTCCAGACCAATCCAGCGTTCAAAGCATTCCCAAGGAGTTCGTCTCTCCGCTCCAGAGGTAAATTGTGACGAAGGGGTTAAACAGCTGGAAATCAAAGACCAGTTGTAAGAGTACTCCTTTACAAGACGGCGCAGTTCATCATCCTCTGCGTATGTCCACTGAGATGACTGACGAGACTCAAAGAAGCCAACAGAAGGCATAGGGTATTCAGTTGGAGGCCTAAAGGTATGCCCCGGGTGAATGCGATCACGTATGTGTTTGTTCTCGGGTCGGAAGAGGGCAACATTTGTCTGCTCTGGAGGCAGGTCCAACAACCCTTGGTCTGGATCGGATTGGTATTGCGAATAATCATAACGACTACGTTTTCGTGGCGGTTCATCGTCAAGGAATGCTATCTTCCCAGAAGCATACTTTGAGACTGGTAGAATCTCAGTCTTCCACACAGCATCCGGAGGTTCTTTGAATGTCGGTAGATTGGTTTCTGGGGCAATCCCAACTGGAGAGTAGACTGGCAGTTCATCCAGAAGCTTTTGAGCTGCCGGCGTCATATCTAGCGAGAATGTGAATTCATCTGAACTAAGGGAGAATATTGCTGCAGGAGCAACCGTATCATGTAAATCATGACGTGGCTCATCATTATAGCCCTCGCTAACCGAGTCTTCTTCTGTTGAAGGTACTAGGTCTGGAGTCGGGTGAGACATTCCCAGCATTTCATCTCCTGTCTCCTCTGGAGGCGACATCATGTTAGTATCAGGTTCGATCTTCTTCTCTAATTTGACTGGTGGAGTCCTAGCATGCACACGAAGTAACGACCTATGTTCTGGCTGGCTGTTGACATACTCGGCGCACCAATCTGCGCAACTTTTTGCCGCTGCGATCTTCCACTTCCTTTCTTCGCGAAAATCAGTGCGCATCCACTTCATGTGATCCAGAAGAACATCCCAGTGCGTCCCTTGACGAGGAGGCTCTAATGAGCGCTTCATTTGGCGCAATGGCCACCGGTTTGCATTTTGAAGCTGATAGATGCGGCGAAGGGTGCGACAATCCATCTGTTCCTGATATTCAAGGTGATGATTTGCGGTGGTTAAGGTTTTATGAGCAGAGGCAAGGAGAGTACTGAGGCTTGTGCCTCGAGGGGGACTATAAGCCTTACTCTGGAACAAGGTGAAGAGATAATCCCTTTCCTCATTCAACTTCGCTAGGTCACCTGTATGCTGGCGGACAAGATCCATGGAGTCAGCTTGGTCTTGCAATTGTTGCTGCTGCTGCTGTTTTGGAAAAACAACTGTAGAGAGCTTGCTCCTCTCTCTTTCCCGTGCCTTCCTGTCCTTGAAGCTTAACCTTGCTGCCGAGTCACTGGAAGTCTTGGATACAGCTCGTGTCGTCTCTGCGGGTTTCTCAGTAGCAGAAGCTTTATCGGGTTGGACTACTGCCGGTTTTGGGGCTTCGCCTAGGATTTCAGAGACAGATTTATGCCGAATAGCGCCGGAAGAGACTCTGGTTGTCATTCTTTCGGGCTGTACTGGCCCAGAAACCGTTTGCGTGCCCTTCTTCGGTGCCGAAGTTGCTGGAGCCAGTACCTTAGGTTCTACCGCATTCGAAGGTTGGACCTGTTCAGCTTGATGTGAGGTAGGCACCTCATTATCCTCAGTGGATTCGACCACTCCATCAGGCTTTTTTGATACCGGCACTAGGGGTATATCTACCGAAACCTTTTCCTCTTTCAACGAATCCTCAACACCTGTCGGTGCCGCAACGCTCTCCTGGAGCACTTCATTCGTCGAAGGCTCATCGGTACCACTATCCCCGATAGTTTTCTTTGCGGCCAGCGAGCTTTGGCGGAGCGATTGCGCCTCTTCTAGTCGAAGCTGTTCATCTGGCGTGGATGGGACCAGGATTGGAGGTGCTTGTGTAGGTTCCTCAGGCTTAGGGCTCGGTACAATCTTATCGGTTGGCCTAGTTCCCTCCTCGGCAGGGCTCGTCTCCGGTGATACAGCAACCGGAACAGGAGTATTGTTGGAATAAGGACCGGCTGAAGACACGGGAGAAAGCGGTTGTTCATTGCGATGAGCCACTCGGCTGAGCACAAGAGACGGTCGTTCATCAGGTTTCTTTTGGCCAGACGACACTTCAGCGGGCCCGGAAGGAACCCCAGCCGTTGGCGTCGGCTTGGCCTGGCTCGGTGAGACACTAACTTCTGTAGAATCATGGCCTTGGTTACTCTTGGGCGTTCCTGGCACCGCAGAGATTATCTTCTGCTCAGGGGCTGGTGATTCGGTTGGTGCAGCGACTGGGGTGGATGCATCAAGACCTTCGGGAGTAACGCCAGGCGCAGGCTGAGTAGGGGCTTGGGCTTCTTGTTGCCGCTGCTGTTGTAGTACGGTGCCAGGAGGTTTCTGTTCCGGTAGCGGCCGGGACGGTGATGTTTGTTTACCGGCATCAGAAGCAGTCTGAGAAATACTAGCTTCTACACCCGCCGGAGGACTGATAGGAATGGCATTGGAAGCTTTCGATGGTTCTGGACGTGACTGCACAGCTTCCTGGTACTTGCGCGATAGAAACTCTGCATAGTTAGGTAAGGGTGGAAGAGTGGCTTCATCGAAATAGCGACCTCTTCAGAAGTCGATCAGCAATTGCGACCAATTGAAGTATATAGTATTACATGTGATCGAACACAATTGATGTAGGAAAAGAAAGAAAGATTATAAATAAGATACAATAAAGAAAACCAACATAAGAGTCGAAAGACAATATTAAAGAAAAAATAATAAATAAATAAATAAAATATTTGACAGGAATAGTGGTTGTAAGACTTACTTGGAAAGATCGTTGGCATCGAGGAACGCCTGTTCTTTCTGATGGTATAGCGAGTCCGCGGACGGGTTCTCAGTCGCGCCCGCGAAGCCTACGGTCGCAAAGTAGAGCTCGCTCAGTTTGCGCTTCCGCGACAACAAACAACGTCTGAAAATTAAAAGTGAGCGATAATTCGATATCGCATGAGCCAGTAGAATAGAATGGATCGCTGGGAGATAATAATTACTTACGCGATCTCATCGTTCTTAGACCGAAGGAGCTCTTCGCGGAGCATCGAGTCTATTTCGGGAACACAACATCCGATTAACGCGCTAAATTAAAAAGGAGTGGGTTGAGCGAAGTCATCCAGGTGGAAAAAATCGCTCAGAAATGATGGAAAGGATGTGGTTGTGTTGTTATGGGATGCAGAGTATCAAGACGCGCAAAGATTAGACTTGAAGGGATTTTTGGGGGTGTTAGTAGAGATGAGACTTTTGCACGGATAGTATGGAGGGAGTTTTTGGTTGGTTGGTTGGGGGAGCAGAAAGGGAGTGTAAGTAAAGAGAGCGTGTGGTTCCGGGAACAGAACAGCGCGCGCAAAAGTGATCACTGGTAAGTAGGTATGGTATTGTTATCGAGCGAAAAAGAAGGGCCTAAGTCCTCCCCTCAAGTCTGGTATGCTACCCAGTTTGAAAGAAAATACATTCGCTGTAGCCTGAGGCATGCATAGTCTCCCCTTGCCTTCTAGGCGACTTACGTTGACCTTTTGCTGTAAAAAAAAAAATTAAAATTAAAATTAAATAGAATAGAATGAAAATAATTATGAAAGTACTAAAATGAAGATAAGGAAACATAATAACTCTCTCAGTTTTCTAATATTTTTCTTCCCTCTATTTCCCCCTTTGTCTTTGGAATTTCCTTCCCTAAGGCACCTACGGGCATTCACCCATCATTGCCGCATTCAGTATCTCGGTACCTCAGGCATGATTCTCCTAGTTCCCACATCTTACCGCCTAATGCATCCGATAATGTCTGGCAGAAAAAAAGTTGCCCGCTTTTTTTGTACGGCTTGCATATCTACATCTTGAAAAAATCATTTGTCATTGGTGAAACATCAACCAACAATTATCTTTTAAGATTCCAGATCATGGCCAAGCGCAAGAGAGAAGAAGCAACCAAGGACGCTCAAGTCTCGAGCCAGCAACCATCAAAGGCTGTCAAATCAACAATCAGTCATGAGACTCGCTCATCCTCTGTAGATTTACCGGCCGTCACTGTGCAAATAATCACTGGATCATATGAACGGGTGCTGCATGGTTTCACTGCTGCCATTCCCCCGTCTTGTTTCTCATCCAGTGATGAGAAGGAGCCTTCCGCTCACTCGTCCGCAGTACAATTCGTTGATACCTTCTTGTTTGAGGCTCATGCATCCGCCATCCGTTGCCTCGCCTTGTCTCCTCGACCAAATGCAGACTCGACCGAGGAATCGCCAAAAGTCATTCTGGCGAGCGGTGCAACAGATGAGACTATCAAACTTTATTCTTTGTCGGCCGCCCCTCTTGAGGTAAATGAGCAGTATCCCTCCATTCCGACTCTCGCGGGTAACAAAATCCTCGAGAACCCGAAGAATCGAGAGCTGGGCACATTGCTACACCACTCTTCGAGTATATCGGCTCTGCATTTCCCATCGCGCTCGAAGCTTTTGGCTGCTTCAGAGGATAATACTATCTCCGTCACCCGGACTCGCGACTTTGCTGTTGTATCTACCATTAAAGCTCCCCGCCCGAAAGTTCAAGGGAGACCCAGCGGAGACACAGCTCCTCCTGGAGGATCGCCGTCTGGTGTCAATGACTTCGCCGTGCATCCCAGTATGAAACTGATGCTTAGCGTGGGGAAGGGTGAGAAATGTATGAGGCTTTGGAACCTGGTTACGGGTAAGAAGGCTGGTGTGTTGAACTTCAGTAGAGAGATTCTACAGGCAGTTAAAGAAGGCAAGTGGAGTACTGGTGAGGGAAGGAAGATTGTCTGGGACACTAAGGGCGAGGAATTTGCCGTTGCATTTGAGTGGGGAGCTGTTGTCTTCGGAATTGTGAGTGTTTTTTTTTTTTTACCCTTCGGTCTATGATACAAGAGTCTAACCACGTCCACAGGATTCGACCCCAATCTGCAGGATATTCCCGAACCCCCGGAGCAAGATCCATCAAATGAAGTATATCAACAAAGATCCATCTGCTGAGGATGGTGACGAACTACTCGCTGTCTCAACAGAAGATGGCAGGGTTATCTTCTACTCCACCAAAAAATTTCAAAAGCCACAGGATGATGATGATTCGCCGATCCCTTACGCCGAAGCCGTTGCTGAACTTGGCGGCAAAGCGTCTGGTTTCTCGGGGAGAGTGAAAGATTTCGATGTCCTAAGCCTGAAAGATGAAACAACAGGCCCCCAAGACGGTTTTCTGGTGATCACGGGCAATAGCGAAGGCGTTATACGCGTATGGTATGTACCTGGAGAAGACCTCACTGGCAAGGAAAAGAGTGGAAAGACCAGTAAAACCAAAGACGAGAAAGCTTCAAAAACCCCTCAGGTGGGTAAATTTTTGGATGCTTATGAAACCGGAAATCGGATCACCTGTCTTAAGGGGTTTGTGATGCTGCCTTCGGAGGACCCCTCGAGCCTTCTAGATTCCGAAGAGGAATTCGAAGGCTTAGACAGTGACGAGGAAGAGGAGTCTGAGAGTGAAGAAAGCGATGCCTAACCATTTGGATGTCAGTTGATTATTCCAGTTTGCAATGTATACCCTACGATTTGTTGTTAGACTAGAAGAATGTAAAAGAAAACCAAATGCTTGTCAGAAACGATTGTCTAGCACCTTCAACCGCTCTTTTATCTTTTCCTTCTCCTTGACTATAAACACAGCTAGGTCTCTCGGGAGATAGTATCATCCACCACGGGCTAGAAAGAAGAATAGACAAAGTCAGTGGTAGAATTAAAGCGAAGGAGTCACTCAATGATTCTGAAGTAATATATAACAATCAACTGTAGAAGTTCCCCAATCTGTTGTATAAATTTCACTCGCTCATTCGGAGATCTCAATTTGAATTGAGTCAACTGGCGAGGCGGTGACTCAGAGCGAGAAAAAAAAAGGTCGAAGAGACGCCTTTCACCGCCCTACAACGCACTCACTCCACTGCACAAAAGAAACAAACCCCACTGAGTGGCCGACCCAAACTGCTATCATATCGCCTCTGTTCCCGCAAGCTGCAATTTTCATCCATCACCACGCTCTCGACCCTCGCCGGTTTTCTACTCACCCCACATTACCCTCTCTCTCCTTCCTCCGAACTGCTACTGTATTTGGGTCTAACATAGCAATCATGGCTGCCAACGGCGATTTTTCCGATGATGAATCCCAGCCGGGATCCCCCATGCTGAATGCGAACGGTCATGATGATATTGAAGAACAAGAGCCCCTCGACCAAGAGGAGAAGCCTCTCAAGTCTGCGATGAAGAGTGTGCCCCCTGTTTCTCAGCCCAAACGGCCAGAGTTGCCCGAACAGCCAGACCCCGCTACCCTTGACCTGTCGACCCTGACCCCTCTGTCGCCCGAAATCATTGCGCGCCAGGCCACTATTAACATTGGTACCATCGGACACGTCGCTCACGGAAAGTCAACGGTGGTCAAGGCTATCTCAGAGGTTCAGACTGTTCGTTTCAAAAACGAGTTGGAGCGAAACATTACAATTAAGCTGGGTTACGCCAACGCCAAGATCTACAAGTGCGACAACCCCGAATGCCCTCGCCCAACATGCTTCAAGAGTTTCAAGAGTGAGAAGGAAATTGACCCTCCATGTGAGAGAGATGGGTGCACAGGCCGTTATAGGCTGTTGAGACATGTCTCGTAGGTGGCTCCCTCTACTATACTGCTATTCAGCGCCGTTTGCTAACGTTTTTGCCCCCCTCAGCTTCGTCGACTGCCCCGGTCACGATATTCTGATGAGTACCATGTTGTCAGGTGCCGCCGTCATGGACGCAGCTCTTCTTCTGATTGCCGGAAACGAAACCTGCCCCCAGCCCCAAACTTCGGAACATTTGGCAGCTATCGAGATTATGAAGCTTAGCCACATTATCATTTTGCAAAATAAGGTTGATCTAATGAGGGAAGAAGGAGCTCTTCAGCATTATCAGTCGATTTTGAAGTTCATCCGTGGTACTGTTGCTGATGGCTCTCCTATTATCCCCATCTCCGCTCAGCTGAAATACAACATTGATGCTGTCAACGAATACCTCGTTTCCCACATCCCTGTCCCTGTCCGTGATTTCACCGCTTCGCCGCACATGATTGTCATCCGTTCATTCGATGTGAACAAGCCTGGTGCCGAGATTGATGAGCTGAAGGGTGGTGTTGCTGGTGGTTCCATTCTGACTGGTGTGCTTAAGCTTAACGACGAGGTGGAAATCCGTCCCGGTCTCGTGACCAAGGACGAGAACGGCAAGATTCAGTGCCGCCCCATCTTCTCGCGGGTTGTTTCTCTCTTCGCTGAGCACAACGACCTGAAGTTCGCTGTTCCTGGTGGTCTGATCGGTGTCGGTACTCGTGTGGACCCTACTCTGTGCCGTGCTGATCGTCTTGTCGGTTTCGTTCTGGGCCATCGCGGACGTCTGCCCGCCATTTACACCGAACTGGAGGTCAACTACTTCTTGCTGCGCCGGTTGTTGGGTGTCAAGACCGCCGATGGCAAGCAGGCCAAGGTTGCTAAGCTGAGCAAGAACGAGGTTCTGATGGTCAACATCGGTTCTACGGCCACCGGTGCTAAGGTCATGGGCGTCAAGGCCGATGCCGCCAAGCTGAGCTTGACCAGCCCTGCTTGTACCGAAATTGGCGAGAAGATTGCCATTTCTCGCAGAATCGACAAGCACTGGCGTCTGATCGGGTGGGCAAACATTGTTGCGTAAGTAATCTTCCTATTCCATCATACGTCTTTCCTGGACGATAGAGATCTAACTGTGTGATAGCGGTAACACCCTCGAACCCATTCTGAACTAAGCGAGCTATCATGTGCGTGTTTATGTAGCTTGACCTGATTGAGCCCGTTGGAAGGGGAATGGGGAAAATCTAAATTTCTGGTTCCCTCTATTCCTCGGATAACAGGCCTTGAAGGGTTCAAGCTTCATGGGGAATCTACCACAGGAATGAAGGCATCTGGTTTTACCCATGAATAGAGAACGCAGGAGGACAAATCGCCGTCCATGCTTCTTGGTAGGAGTGTCAAGGGGAAGAACACTTGGGATTTTCCGCGTTCGCGGCCTATGCAAAGGATCCCAAGAACCAAGAGCCCGTTAAGTCCAACAGGAGATGGATGGATTGGGGGGATAAGTTGTTACGGATGGAGTAGGATACTACTTCTTTGACGTGTGTTATGACGCTGTTCAGTGGAAAATTTTTTCTATGTTCATTTTTATTACTTATTTCTTATTCTTTCTACTTGCATGAACCTATGTAGGGGCTACTTATAGGGAGATGACGAATGCAATGAAAAAGTAAAGCATTGGGTAGATGATTAAATGTCGGGACGATGTGAAGGCCTTGTTATATACTCGCTCTGGTAATAATCAGTATCTTTCATGGTTAATTTCATTATAGACACTATAGCCTTTCTTCTACCTATGTAGCATTGAATTGAGAGATATTTTCCCCTAAAACGAGTACTAGGGATAGTACCAAAACAGCCCTATATAACCATGATGGCAGGCTACGGAGTCTCTTACTCTCATTCGATCCCGTCTTCTTGTTGATCAATCAGAGTAATAAATTCAAATTCGTAGTCTTAGACGTAAACACGCTGAGGGTATAGCATTTGATATACTAACTCTGGCTTAGGTGGTCTCTTCATCTATACTAGCCCTCCTATGCTAAATCTACTAGCAGTAATTTATTCCTACCAAATGCCAATACTAGACTATTGGCGATCCACTTATTGATTGAACTCGCTATTGTTAATCATTTTATTCACAGGCAACCACAATAGGTAAATGACATACATACTGTACATACAATGGATACATTCTTGGTTCCACCGTATTAAAACTGTGTAATGAACTAGTAACAATAACAGGTGACTAAGGCACTCCATTCTCCCGCAATACTTCAAAGCGCAACTTGCTTGGAATGTTCCTATCAACCTGACAAACAACACAGCACAGCACTTCCTTGACATTGAGGCAAAGCTGTTGTTGGGTTCGCTTCAACATGTATATACTCGAGGTAAGCGTCTTGTCTTCAAATGTCCTTGAAGAAACCCCACGCCTTTGCGGTGACACCTGTCCGGTTATGATTAAAGAGCTATAGCTGATCTGGCTTACCGTGGCGGTTATAGCAATTGGCGCGTCTCCTCGACCGCCCGTTCTTCCCATGGAAGAATGTCCTCGTGGGATTCTCTTTGGGACAATTTGTCCTAGAAGGTCTTCTGTCTCTCCGTCAATATAAGGTCCTGCAGCGCACAAAGCCTCCACAGGTTTTGGAGAATGAGGTGTCTCAGAAGGTCTTCGACCAAAGTCAAGTAAGGATGCCCATCATTCATCCAGGTCGAGCGTCACACCTAACCGCATCTCCAGTCTTACGGTCGCGCGAAAGCGAAGTTCGGCTTCGTTGCTGGTCTCTACGGTCAAATTCAGAATCTTGCGTTTATCTACGGTGATATCCTCCCCAAACTGTGGGGAGCTAGCGGTCTCTTGTTGGCACAGTACTTCCCTTCTCGGTTCCAGGGCGAAATCACACAAACTCTCGTGTTTCTGTTTGGATTCAACCTGATTAGCACTATTCTGTCGCTGCCAATCTCGTACTACAACACTTTTGTCCTGGAAGAGAAATTCGGCTTCAATAAGCAGACTCTCAAGCTCTGGGTTACGGATATGCTGAAGGGCCAGATGCTCGGTATTGTGCTTGGAACGCCTATCATTAGCGCAGTGCTCAAGATCGTCCAGAAGACCGGTAACTCGTTCTTCTACTACCTGTGGCTTTTTGGTATCTTCGTCCAGGTCTTTGCCATTACCATCTACCCGATCGTGATCCTGCCATTGTTCAACAAGCTATCGCCTTTGGAACCTGGTGACCTAAAGACCGGCGTTGAGAACCTCGCCAAGAAGCTGAACTTCCCTCTCCAGGAACTTCACGTCATTGATGGTAGCAAACGGAGTGCTCACAGCAACGCCTATTTCTATGGACTGCCATGGAAAAAGCATATTGTTATTTACGATACTTTGATTGAGAAGAGTGAGTCCGAAGAGGTGGTTGCTGTTCTGAGCCATGAATTGGGCCATTGGAGTCTCAGCCACACCACCAAGCTGTTCGGTATCGCTCAGGTATGTTGGCCTGCTTGATGATCGTGCGGGACAAGTCCAACTGACTGTTATAGTTCCACATGTTCTACATCTTTGCACTTTTCTCGGTCTTTGTCAACAACAAGTCGTTGTACCAATCTTTCGGTTTCATTAACGAACAACCCATTATGATTGGATTCCTTCTGTTTTCGGATGCTCTGGCGCCAATGGATGCCGTTGTCAAGCTTCTAATGAACATCCTCAGTCGCAAGTTCGAATTCCAAGCTGGTATGTTTCCCTGCTTCTGCTGTGGTAAGGTTACTCTGCCATGACCAAGGGCTAACAATCACCCCAGATGCGTTTGCTGTGAAGCTTGGCTATTCCGAGAAACTCGCCTCGTCTCTCCTCAAACTCCAGATCCAAAACTTGAGCACCATGGATGCCGACTGGATGTATGCCAGCTATCACTACTCTCACCCGATCCTTTCGGAGCGACTCAAGGCGCTCGGCTGGAAGGGTGGAAAGGTCACTGATTATAAGGCGGAGGATGATGAGAAGCCAGTTAAAGCTGCTGACCGCGAGCTCTGAGCTATTCTGATGCTGCTATCTTTATTCGCGTTCTCCGGTAGTGTTCAGACTTTTTGGGAATTTTCGGTTATTCGGTCCTGTGGGATGGGGTTGGTGTTTTTTGTAGAAGTGTGGGAATCCATCATTCAGAAAGAGCAGTAATAAAACAAAGAAAACTCCTCTAGTACGCCAAATACAAGATGCGTGGCTTTTGATACCCAACCGAACAGAATCAAGCCCATAGCAGAATGATGCCAACAAAATCTTCCAATCATAGACCCATAACAGCCTCTTTTTTTCTATACTTTTCCTTTTTCTCACTGGGTTTCCCTTTGCCGTCGGATTTACTCTTCGGCTTGGGTCTCAGCCTTTGCTTTAGCCCTCTTCTCCGCCAATCTTCTCTCCTTCTTCTTCCGCTTCCTTTCCTCCTTATCAAGAGCACCGGCATCCTGTTCCACATCGTCTACCTCCATCGGCCCCTGCGCATCATTCTCGTCCTGCACCGCATCGCCATTCTCACCCTCCTGGAACTTCTTCGCATCCTCCCAATCCCCATTCGCCCCCACTTGCTGCTGTTGCTGCGCATCTCCCTCTTCCAGCTTGGCAAGCGCCAGATCGCGTCCTAGAACTTCGCCCGCCAGGCCAGCCTTCACGCGCTTCAAGTTGTGTATCGTGAGATTAGGCGCAGCGGCTGTGGTACGCGAAACGGGGCCATGCTCACTGATTCCGGCGTTGGGTTGATATGCGGGGTCTGTAGCGGCAAGGTCGATGTAGGCAGCGAGAAAGTCATGCGCCGCTGATTGGGAGATGGACTTCGAGTTGAGAATGAACGTTGGGGGGAGGGGCGAGGGGCCTGTAGCCATTGTGACGGTTTGGATGTTCGATTTATGGTATAGCGTATTATAATTTCTCCCCTTATGGTGGTATACTGTGCGCAATTGGAAACAGCCCGTCTATTATGTAGTAAATTGACAAATGAAATAAATATAGAAAGATGGTTCGTGCACTCGCAAATGTTAAGACAGAGAGCTAAAGTATATCAAAATCGAAGAAGAGAAAAAAAGTTCTAGGATGGACAGGTGGTCCGTGCTCTCTCCGCCGGAGGTTCAATTTTCGTTCCGCCCATCAATCGATCTCCAAGCGGTCTCTTACCCTCCCACCCCCATCAGCCAATCCCTCTCCGGATTTCACGCCATCTGCCTCCGCCTACTTCTTCTTCTTCTTCTTCTTAACCTACGTGGTCCCTTCTCGGTGCTCACAGCTCACTCAATCTACGACAATGCTTTGCTTTCGGTGCAGGGCCATGCCCTCCGCCCTGAGGACGTACTCGTCCCCGATGTCCATGTCGAGGTAGGTAACAAGCATAGGGCTACCATAACACTCCATCACCCAAACCACGTCCCATACATCTAGTCTCAGGAACAGGCCCGCTGTACTAACGGCTCTATACCAGATACCTCACCCCCAAAACCACGACGACAACACCATTCAGCACCCTCTCCTCACCACTCCGACCCATGACCAACTTCACCACCACCATCCGTCCCCAACTCCCGACCCTAAGCAACACACAACTCCCCTCTGCGGCCACGCCCTCCGCCCAACAGACCCGCTCTTTCTCCGCCAGTGCCTCCCTGGCCGGTAAGCGCGCGACCTACAATCCCTCGCGACGGGTGCAGAAACGGCGTCACGGATTCTTGGCCCGGGTGCGGTCGCGTGGAGGACGGATGATCATTTTGCGGAGGAGGGCGAAGGGCCGCAAGTCGTTGAGTTGGTAGATGGCTTAAGGGGACGTTTTTGTTCTTGTGTGTGTGTGCTGAACGGAAGGGAAACTGCATTGATTGTCCGGTGGATGATATACCATCGGACAACATGCGGGATTTGTATGATGGGCTTGTTGAGCTATTTGGTTTTGTTCATTTGTTCGTCATTCGAGGGCTTGAGGCTTTCTTTTATTCGTTGTCGGGGAAAAGGTTTTTGATGCCTTGGATATAACGGGACGCGATGGTCCTACTGTACCATATACAATACATAGATCGTTTTATGTGCAATGTGTTGGATTTTTCTCTCTCCTCGGGGCCCTTTTAAATATATAATGACAGATTTCTCTTTGTAGTATGGGACCATGATTGTAATGCGTAGATATAGGCTGCATAAAACGAAAACAAACATTAGATTTAGTTTCCTAATCTATGGCCCTTTTCTATTGCTGCAGCAGTTGCCTGTCTTCATCTACTGATCGGTTAATTCATGCCACATCTCGATGTATACCATTCCAATCATCGTAAAATATATCTACCCGATTCGTTATTGAAAAGCATCACTCGTCGTCTTCGTCATCTTCGTCATCTTCCGATCCAGTCTCATACTCGTCATCATCTTCGTCGTCGTCGGATTCCTCGTCCTCGTCATCACCGACCTTCAGGCCGTAATCGTCCTCGAAGTCCTTGAGCGGCTGCACCTCGGGTGTGAAGCCGGACGACTGGAGACCTTCTTTGATAGTCTGAACGAACAGGTTAGCATTGAGCGCTTAATACAGTAGGGTAGTCATTTGTGATCATACCTCTTCAAGCACAGTAGCGCAGGTAATAACGATGTTAGCCGTCTTGGGATCAAACAGGGGAAGAATGATGTCCTGGAGAGCGCCCTTGATATCATCAACGCTGATGTTCCGAACCTGCCGAAGCATTTTCTCCTTGTAGTCGCTGGGCAAGTTGCGCACGACCTGACGGGTAAAGCTGCCCTGGGCTGCGCCAGCAATGGTCGCCTGCTCGTTGGCATAGCTAACCACGATGCTGCTGATCGATCCCTCCAGCATCAGAGGGTCGAATGGGATAGCACCGGATAGATGGTCCTTGACAATCTGCTTGCTCGACTCAAAAGCCTTGTGAGCGTTAGGAGACCGGTACACGTCAAAGTTGACAAAGCCAGTGTCGACGTTGTAAGCAAAGTTGGTGCCATATGCCAGACCAGTGCCACGAACTGCAACCCAGAGAGGACCCTCAACTGCGTTCATGTAGGCAATTGCAACCAATAGTGCAGGAAGCCTGGGGTCGTTGTACGAATCAAGGCCTCGAGCGGTTGCATATGCGAACGACGAGTCAATAGTGGGCATAGGAACCACGTAGGACTCTCCACCCAATTTCTGACCGGCCTCGCTCAGCAAGGCCCTTCTTGCTGTAATGGGCTGGAGCGTAGAAATCGCACCAAGTCGCTCGACAAATGGCTTCCAGGCAGAGACAGGACTCTTGAGCTTCTCGAGGTCAGCGATGACTAGCACTCGCATGTTTTCAAACTGGAAGAGTGCCTTTCGGATTTCTTCCATGCGGGAGACCACGAGTTCAGGTTCCTCCGCCAACTGTTTCTTGATCCTCTTGAGATAGCGTGCCTTCACTAGGGTGCTTCGAGCGCGGACGATGGACTCAGCTGCGTAGTGGACCATGACATGCACCGCTGCGAGCATGTCATCGCCGCTACGCTTTGAATCAGGCACGTCGGAGAGAAGGCGGCTGGTAATTGCTCGCAGTCGCTCCACATCGAAAATTGAGTTCCATGACAACTCCTGAAGCCATGCAATCGCCGTGTTATATTTCTCCAGCTCGACTTGGAAGGAGATACGCAGCATTTCTGAGTTGCCTAGACTTCTGGCATTTTCCATCGCATATCCAACTGTGTCCCTCTCCAACTCAACAACGACCTGTTCGAAGTTGATGGTTTTTCCATCACGCTGAACTGGGAGGTTAAAGAAAGCTTCAGTGTAGATAGAAAGAAGGGGGCGAAGTTGAACAGGAACAGACTGAGCTGAAATAAGGAGGGAAAGCTGGACGAAATTGCTCGGAATATGCTCAAAGTGGATAAACAGAGGCATTTCCGAGCCATCAGCGTCTATGAGCTTCTGGGCGGTATGGTCAGGGCGTCCCGCCTTCAAAGCAGCACCAGATCTGGCCGTGGTAGTTTCCACAAAATGGATTGATTCAATCCCAGGGATGCTGAATCTCTCCAGCATATCTTTGGGAATCTCCTTGTCGTTCTCGGCCTTTGCTTTCGCAAGCTTCTCAGCTAGCTGTTTAAGGCCTGCTTCACCGAGACGCTTCTTCTGTGCTGTCACTCTGGCTTCTTCCTCTTTTTTCAGCGTCTCAGACATCTTCATGGATGGCACGCCCAAAATAGTGACATGGGGAGCATCCGAAATCCATCCCTTAATGAAACTCCGCCATTCATTCTCACTCCACTTCTCTAGTACATCGTACTCTTTCAAAGTCGCGACATCTAGGAGAGTTGATCCATCCCTCTTTCCAAAGAGGAAATCTGAGATGACGTACTCAGCGAGAGAGGAAGCGGAGCTTTCAGTAGAAAATTTCCAGGTCCGCCTTTGCCGGTCAATGCATTCTTTCAGATAGTTCATGTCTAACTCTTTCTCCATCGCATCCTTCAGCACTTCAAAGAAGCGCTGTTCCACCTGAGCTAGTTTATCGGTTTCCACACTGGTCAGGGTGAACCGAATCTCAAGAGAGGGGTGGTCTTCAGTGGTATAGTATACTGCACTTGCCAGCTGTTCCTTTTCGACGAGGATGTTGTCTAAAAGCGAAGCGGATGATCCAGCAAGGTACAAAAGTGTAACATTGAGGGCCCCAGCTTTGAAGTATGAGCATAGTTGTGAGATGAAAGGAAGGGTTTACTGCTTACTTTGAACGGGATCTGTAGAATCCGGCCCCAGGAATCTGATCTCGATCTCTCCAAACGACTCATCTTCTTCAGGAAACTCTACCTTCTCCACAATAGACTTTTCCAATGGCGGGGCCTGCTTGGAGTCCACCCATGGTCGCTTGAACGGAGCATCTGGACTGGGAATAACATCCAGGATGGTATCTTCAAACTTGTCCAGAGTCTCAAGCATATTGGCATGGTCGACCTCGCCGGTGATGATCAGGCACAGGTTTTTCGGTTGATACATCTCTCGGTGAAATTCCCTGATTCTCTCTGCCGTGAGAACACGGAGCTGCTCCATCATACCACCAGTCTCATAATGGAAGCCCACACCTGGTGGGTAGGTCAAACGACGAGCGCTCAAGTCTATCAGCTCTGCAGCGTTGTTCTGCACACCCTGCATTTCTGAGTACACAACACCTGCATCGTTTCCAGTTCCGTCGATGTGATGTACTTCTGTATAGCAGCCTTCGTCTGTCAAGGTTGGGGCAATTACATGCTCGAGGTATACGGGCAAAATCTGGGCAAATCCTTCCCAGCCCGCTGTGTCAAGCGTGTACGCCGTATGGTCTGTGGCAGTCCAGGCATTGGTACTCGAATAAACCCGCGTGGCGAGCTTATCAAGAAATCCCTTGTACCTGTAATTGCGAGAACCCATGAAGCACAGATGCTCCAACGTATGAGGAGCTCCCGAATCATCATGGATTTCTGTGGCAAGGACAAAGTATCCTGTTACCTTAGGGCCTTTCTGGTCGATGACCACGACCCGCATGCCAGTTCTCTCGGATTCATACTGGACAAATTCGCTTGGCGAGTAGTCCGGCTTGAATTTCTGTAGTAACTTGAAATGGCTTTTCTGACTCGGGGACATTTTGCTAAGCGACCCTGAGAACCTCTGAAGATGAATCTTAAACCCAGAATTTGCGATCGTTGTTTGTAACAATGATCTGTACAGGGGTCAGTAGGCGATACTATATAGCAACGCTAGACCACAGGATAAAGCACAAATTTCACTACTAAATCAAAGTAAACTAAGATACAAATAGGAGATTGAAGAAGCAGACTAAGGTGAACATATCCAAAAAAAAAACATGCTGAAACAAAATTGTTGACATAATACCCCCAATGGGTAACAGTGTCTTTTTATGCCACTTGATAGAAGAGGGGCTGTTCCTTTTTTTTCCCTTTTTTTTTCCCCTTCCCAAATATGGTGAGCTGACGATAAGAACTTACATGGATCGAATAGGTTTTGCCCAAGTCAGGCCTCGTAAGAAGAATCGAGACAGCACGATGAACACTTCTTCACAGCTGATATTAATGTTCCAAGGACGTCGTGGGCAGTTTGGCCGCAGTTGGTTTTCGGTACCCTCGAACTGTGACGGCGAGAGAGTGGAGTTTGGGCCCCGTTGTCTTGGAGGATCACCACGCCAACAAATGCTCAATTACACATGTAGAGATACTCAGGACATGGCCTCTGCATAGGTCAACGAGGATTATAAGGAGTGTACATAAAAGAAACAGTCAAATTAAACAACAGAATTAAGAAATTAACAACTCATAGTACACCAAAATCCCTCCAATTGAATGTTCGTGAATTGGGGCCAAGGCGGTGAAAGCGATGAAGTCACATGGGGCTGACAGCTCGTTTCCTCTTCTCCTCTGTTTACTGCTGCCAACCATTCCAGGCAATTCAATTCTAAGGGGGTTTCCGATCTGCCGATAGAAAGTAACGGATCGGGTTACTCGCGTTGGTTCTGTCTGCAGAGGGGCTTTATCATTCGTTGAGGAACGGCAGAGCTGGTCACAATCAAACACGTTTACTATGGCCCACAAGGCATCGGAGCAGGAGATAAGCCAGTTAGTGCTTGGTTTTGTAACGGAGGGCACCTACCCAACATCTGAGAATGTCATTACCGCGGAGTTTCCGGTATCTGCTCTCGCAAAAGAGTTAGAGCTTATATCAAAGGCAAGGGAGGAAGTGGAAGTGAGTAGCACCAATTGGGAACCCCGCGTTGCTACCAGCGCTATTACCCCTACGACTAATCCACGATATACTTATGCTTCATGTCAAATAGGCGGAGATCACTGCACTGAGCCGAGACAATGACTTCGACGCCGATGGGTGGATTTCGCAAGCAAAACAGCTTCATGCTGACATTGAGCGATCTCGTGTCACTGCGAGGGAGATTGTCGCGCAGCATGAAAATACAACCCCTTTACAACTAAAGGTTGAAGATGCCGCTGCCAAGTTCCAATTGGTTGAAACTGAAATCGCATTCAACCAAGCTGTAACATACACACTTGAAGAGGTACAACGACTATGTCAGCGACTCGATGCTGGGCGGGACATTCTCGGCGAGGGTGAAGTGATGGACGCAATCGAAACATTAGAAGCGACCGAGCAAGCCATAAGAAAAGACAATCTCTTTTCAAACACAACTGTCATGCACGTATTATTAGAAAATGTCAGCGAACTGCGGAGGGAAATTGCGGAGTACCTCCGTGGCCGCTGGAGCAAGCAGCTGAACGTTGACAGAAAGGCGAGTGTTTTGACACTTTTGAATGACAATGGTAAGCAATTCTCCCAAACCTGGATTTGGAAACTTTTATTGAACAAAACAGGGCATCCATTGGAAGAAACTATCGCGGCTCTGGTCCACCTTGATATGCTCGCGTTGTGCAAAAGTAAGTTCGAGAAGGACTTAATTGCTACCCTTGTCGAGCCTATTCTACTGCCCGCAGTTGAAGGACAAAGTCGTGGCGTCCAGGTTGGAGAGACATCAATTCGAGTAGAACCCCAACCATCGAAGGCATCAGTGCCTGAGGTTTTGGACCGCCTCGCCACAGTCTTGGGCTTCCTACGCCAACACCTTCCAGTAACAATCTCGGACTCATTCTCGAGTTCCCTCATCCCAACAATCTCGTCGAAGGTCATATCCTACTGGCTGTCTTCTGCCATACCCACAGAGCTTGAAGGCCTGAGTATGTTCGAAAATATCTTAAACCACGTTTTAAAGTTCACAAATACGATCGAGACATTCGGGTGGCAGGGGTATGAAGAACTTGTTTCTTGGGTCAATCAGGCGCCTCGTTTATGGCTCACTAGGCGTCGAGTCGATTCATTGGACCAAGTTCGCAAAGTCCTGGCCGAGAGCCAAGGTACCACGAAGCAGGTAGAACGTGTCGAAAAAGAGGAGGTTTCTGGTAAGGATCAGGTTCTACTGGAGAATACGACTGATGATTGGGATGCTGGCTGGGATGACGACAACGAACATGAGACCACAGCGAAGCATTCTGGAAATAAAGAAGATGAAGAGGATGTCAGCGCATGGGGTCTGGATGATGATACCGAAGAGAACACAACTGAAACAAAACCTGATTTACCTGCTGAAGATGACGCTGCCGATGCGTGGGGCTGGGGAGACGAAGATGAGGAAGAGCAACTCGATGGCGCACAGATTAAAAGTACAAATGGGGGCAAACCTGTCAACGGGAAAGATTCATCACATCATGCCTCTCCACGGGAGGTCACACTGAAAGAGCAGTACACCGTAACCGACATACCCGATTCTATCCTCAAAATCATTCAGCAGCAAATCCAAGACTCTGAAGCTATATCGCAGCCAACGTAAGTTGATGTTGACGTGGATACCCGCACATGTACTGACTCTGTTCCAGACATTCCCACTCCCGCGTTGTTTCCTCTGGTGCAGGCTTACTTGCGCTTCCGACCTTGATACTCGCCATGTTCAAGGCCACGGCGTCATCGTTCTACGGTCTTAAACTCAACTCAGGGCAAATGTACCTATACAACGACAGCTTGTATCTTGCTGACAAAGTGCGCAATCTTTCAGAGGAACATAAGCTCTCCAGGCTCCATGCTGATATCGATGCGCTCGAGAAGTGTGGCAAATTCGCTTACAGCAAAGAGATGCAAACGCAGCGCACCATTGTCACAGACCTGCTGGACGGTGCACAAGGCTTCAGCCAATGTTCTGAGCAACCATTCCTGGGAGAATGTGAAAATGCCGTCAGTGCAACTGTTGATAGAATCCATGACGTCTACGAGGAATGGCAACCAATCCTGTCACATTCCGCTCTACTTCAGTCTGTTGGTTCTCTGGTTTCGACAGTTATCAACAAGATCATCATCGAGATTGAAGAATTAGGTGATATATCGGAGGCTCAGTCCCAACAGCTTGTGACCTTCTGCAACCAAGTCTCTAAGCTGGAAGATCTGTTCATGCTAGAGACAGCGGATGAACATGCACGTGTACCAATGACCGCTGTCTACGTGCGAAACTGGCTGAAATTCCAGTATCTTATCAACATATTGGAGAGTTCGTTGGCCGACATCAAGTTCCTCTGGCTAGAAGGCGAACTACGTCTAGAATTCTCGGCTGATGAGGTGGTTGATCTTATCGAGGCTCTTTTCGCTGAGTCTGACTACAGGCGGAAGGCAATTGCAGAGATTCGACGAGTCTCGAGATGATAGGGACGAGGCCCAAATGTATTGTATATAATAGAGGAGTATAATCTGATAGGCAATTCGACCATAGTAGCTACAGATTGTAGGGCTAGGGCAACGAACAGTGCTGTGTATACATAGTTCTTGTAGGCTGACTGCGGGGAATCTCCGCGCTTTGCGCAATTGGCCGCACCGGTCGCCGTATTTTTTCCTCAGTTTGCGCAGTTTTTGCCCACTGCGAACCGATTCGATTTTCGACAACGCCGCTTCAAAATCCCCAGTTCCATTTTGTGCTTTTACGGTCCCAAAATGAGCGAGGGCACAAATTCCACTTCGGCTGCGGCCTCTGCGCAGAGGCAGGTTCGTGTGCAGCTCACTAGCAAACAAGAAGACATTGCACTACCTGAGAATACCGGCCCGATTCTCGTTCCCACAGGTGAGGTTATCTTACGCCGGTCCTTGCATCTTCCTGGTGTCTGTTCTGCAGAAATCTAATTATGTAGGTCTTCGAAGATATGCACTCTCGACGTTGGTGAACAATCTCCTTGGCAATGATAAGCCAATTCCATTCGAATTTTTGATCAACGGATCTTTCCTCCGAACTTCGATCGATGAATACCTGACTGCCAATGGTATCTCTGCGGAAACTACTCTAGAAATTGAATACGTGAGAGCCTTGATTCCACCTCTGCATATTGCATCGTTTGAGCATGACGACTGGGTAAGCTCGGTTGATGTGCTTTCCACGACCTCGCCCGCCGCTGCTTTGGCCTCTGCAACAATTGCTGCGGGCCAAGAAAGGATCCTCTCTGGCAGCTACGATGGCCTGCTTCGAGTGTGGAATATGTCATCTCAGATAGTTGCAACCTCTCCATCTGCCGCTGATGGTGGTCATACCGCATCTATCAAAGCCGCCAAGTTCATTTCCCCAAATTCGATTGTTTCCGCAGGTCTCGACCGAACAGTGCGTCTGTGGAAGTATTCTGAGGATGGGGAAGGTTTCTCGGGCAATATAGTGCCTCAGCTCGAGTTGTATGGGCACGAGGGCCCTATCAACTCATTGTCTGTACATGCGCCTTCGAATCGCATACTTTCCGCCTCGTCAGACCACTGCATAGGCTTCTGGTCAACCAGGAAATCAGATGCACCAGCCGCTCCAGAGGATCTATTGCCATCTGCTGTCTTGAGGAGCTCCAAGAGGAGAAAGCTGAATTCGTCTGTGACCACCCCGCAACGAGGACCCTTGGCACTCTTGTCTTCCCACACTGCGCCTGTGTCGGCTGCAATCTTCGACTCTAATGATTCTACTGTCGGTTATTCAGCTTCTTGGGACCATTCCCTGCGTACATGGGATCTAGTGACTGCTACACTTGTGGATACTCGGACAACAGCTCACTCACTGCTCTCACTTGAGCACCTCCCTGAACACCACCTGCTCGCCGCAGGAACATCCGCTCGCCATATCACCCTAATCGACCCTCGGGTGTCAGCAACTACAATTGCGGCCATGACTCTGCGAGGCCACACAAACGCGGTTGTCTCGTTGGCTCGTGATCCTAAGAGTTCCTATGGTCTCATTAGTGGAAGTCATGATGGTACATGTCGGATTTGGGATATCCGGGCCACGAAGACAGACAAGGATGGTGTGGTTGGGGAGAGTGTATATTCCATTTCCCGCAAGAGTCTGGAAGAACAAGGTAAATCTGAGGCCAAGCGTGTCGGCGGAGAGGGCGTCAAAGTTTTTGGTGTGGCCTGGGATGGAACAGTAGGCATTGTCAGTGCCGGTGAGGACAAGAGGATCCAGATCAATCGGGGCGAAGGCGTCTTATCTTCTGCGTAGAATAAGTTGCACATATGGGCCTGGCGTTTTGCTATAGGATGAAAAGTTGAGATTCTCTAATTATTTTTTTCTTTTGCTACTATACAACTCAGTGTCCTTTCAGATGCTTATAAATCCTGTGAGGCATAAAGACGGGATACAGCATTCTTTGGGCTGCATATTCCTTCTCTAGATATAGTACATCTCATGAGGTTTTAAACTGTATCCGATACTCAATTACAAGAAATTAAAGATAAACGCCATGCCATGCCCCCCACATAAAGATCGCGAGGTCCAACAAAGTACAAACAGCCGGTGTAGTGAGCTCAGAGCCTTCTTTCCATACGATTGAGCTTGACAGCAGTTTTGATCTATACAGATAAGCATTAGCCCATGCACAACCTGAGAAACAGGAGAATGAATATGGGAGCAAAACCAACCTGAGTTCTCGTCCTCTGTCCACGAACTGGGAGTCCCAATGCATGTCGTCTACCCCGGTACGTACCCGTCTCCTTCAAGCGTTTGATATCATCCAGGTACTGTCTGCGAAGGTCGTTCTCGATTTTCATCTCGGACAAAGCGGCCGTGATGTCGAGGACCTGCTTGTTTGCCAGTTCGCCGACTTTGCATGTGGGGTGGATGTGGAAGCGGGCTAGAAGGCGTGAAGAGGCATTGTTGCCAATACCGAAAAAGGACTGGAGTGATTTCTGGTGAAAGTGTCAGATTGGTAAGGATACTAGTGCATTGGTTGGCTAAAGTGCTTGCCTTGACGAGGTTCCGCTCAGGGAAGTTCACGCCCAGGATGAAGACCTAAGTGAACCATTAGCCGTGAGCCCTGAACTGTTGAAATTGTGACTGAAGATAGCGTACCATCTTGCCTGACTGGATGAACCTGGTCTGCTAGAAATGGGACAAACTGCACTCCGCTATTGTCCCTCCGGCGCAATGATTGACCTCCGGAGCGCGGAAGAAATCATGTCGCAACAACATTCCTCCGGTTTGGCTCCCGTAAATTTCAATACACCCCCCCGTAAGATTTAAGCTTCTGGGGCGACCTTACACCACCCTCGAGAGGAAAATTACACATATCCAAGCCCAAATTACAAACTTTGCCTCCATTGAGGATAACGGCATCTTGGCATCTCCGCAATTGAAAGCTGGCCCTTCAGTCCCGCGATTCTTCCTTCCACTCCAATTGTACTCTTCCAACTCATTGTTGAGGATCTCCAGGAAACGGAGACAATCTAAGTTATCATGAACTTCAGAAACCTCTTCTTATCGTTTTTCTTCGTTCTGGCGGTTGGACTGGCTCTAGTCCACGCCGAAGAAGCTAATCAGCCCCGTGGCCCGAAGATCACTTCTAAGGTATATACCCTGTCCACGTCGCTATTGATGATTGTTGCTTCTCTCAATGTATACTCATTGGCTTAATTTGTATAGGTGTACTTCGACATTGAGCACGGTGATAAGCCATTGGGCAGAGTGGTGCTCGGATTGTACGGGAAGACCGTTCCCAAGGTAATGATCCTTAATGCCTCCATACCTTGTCTTGGATTATGCTAATGAAAATTTCCTGGACAGACCGCCGAGAACTTCCGGTATGACTATCTTGATATTGTATATGGATATTTTTGTGTACTAACACCAAACGCTTAAGGGCTCTCGCTACCGGCGAGAAGGGCTTTGGTTATGAGGGCTCTACCTTCCACCGTGTGATTAAGGAGTTCATGATCCAGGGTGGTGACTTCACCCGCGGTGACGGTAAGCTTCCCCTTTTCGAACCTGAAGAGTATAGCACAGGCTGACGTTTTGGCATCAAGGCACTGGCGGAAAGTCCATCTATGGCGAGAAGTTCAAGGATGAGAACTTCAAGATCAGGCACACCAAGAAGGGACTCCTAAGCATGGCCAACGCCGGCAAGGATACCAACGGCTCCCAGTTCTTCATCACTACTGTTCCCACTCCGTATGTATCTCCTGCATTAATATTACGGCTTTACGAAGAGACTCGCAGAGAAAGCATGCTGACAAGCGGTATAGATGGCTCGATGGCCGCCACGTTGTTTTCGGCGAGGTCCTTGAAGGTTATGAGGTGGTTGAAGCCATCGAAAACGTTCCCAAGGCTCCTGGCGACAAGCCCCAACAGGTGGTCAAGATCGTCAAGAGTGGAGAGCTGGAGTCTGAGGACAAAGGTAGCCACAAGGAGCTGTAGACCTTCTCCAGGTCAATGTTTGATTCTTGGAAGAGTTTGAAAAGTGCTGATAGTTCTTGACCTCTAAAGAAGACATCGTTATCATTGAGGAGCCATCAGAAACTCCAGCACCATCTTCACCAGCACCAGCACCCGCATCAGCAAGCGCTTATGCTTCCTCTTATTCTCTTTCCGGATTTGTAGTATTCCTTGTTGCCGTTGCTCTTATAGTGATCTCTGTTCGGAAGGTCTGCAAGGCACGGTGCCAGTGCAAAGCAAATGATGAGAAAAGCATTGTTTAAAGAGACCTGCAGGATGACGATTTCCAAAAGTTGCCGCGGACCAACCATCCAATTAGATTCAACTTCACCGATACATTTTGACCGTAGAGGGTACCTAAAACTAGTCTCCATACTTACTAGCACATATCTCCCGTAGCGTCTAACGCGCTTTGCGTGTCTACTCAGGCTTTTCCCATAGAAGCGGTCAGTAACAATTCAACTACTTGGTCGTGGCAAACCTTGTCAGGTGACTAGTTACTGCCAGGAGTGGCAAATGTCAGATTCTGCTTCTCCTATGATGCATGTTGGAAGTTTACAAATGCGGAGTGGTTATCTTGATATATATAATTATTTTATTATTATTATTTTCTTCCTTACCCCTTTTGTTGTGTTGAGTGTAGCATCTTAGTGTAGAGAGTGCTATAGACATATCCGATTAGACTCTTCATGTCTTTGTTGTTTCATTTCCCTTTGTGTTATTTGCGTCTATCTATGAGTATGAAAACGAAAGGAAGGCTAGAAAAGACATGATCTTTGTTCGAATGATTTCTATGCACTCATGGAGACCCCGTACTTTTAGGCACACACATGCGATCATTGACAATGATCGTTGCATCTGATCGCTTTCAATAGGTAAGTAATGTACCGATTCAACAAGTGGTTTTCATTGAAACCCCTCAGATTGGCCCGAAGAAAGTCACTAGTACTTTTTTAGGACCCCTCCAGTACCCATTACTACCCAGTAATCAGTAGGTATCTAAATGATAGTATGATACAAGAATATTATCGAGGTAGATGATTCGAAGATCTTGACAGATTTTACTTGATTGTTATCTAATTGATTTGAAAAAGATTTCTTCTCTAATTACCGAAGTGTCACAGGGGAGAAAAGGAGGAACCAAAATTTTAAGATCCTAGATACTTAGGGAGGTACTACAGGATACGGTCGGTTGGTTCCATTGAAAAAACTGCAAAACCCTTTTTTCACAGTGACGGCAAACATTGAAAAAAGAAA